TGGTGACTTTTGAAAAGACCCGGGCCGGTAGTAATCCCCCCGACCTAGCGGCAGGTCTCGTCGGCAGATCGCTGACACCTTTTCCGTGAGGTGGCCAGAAAGCGAGACTCCAAATTTAGGCCGTCCCAGGCCTTTTTTTTTTGAAAATTTTCTCGACAAAGATGCCGTCTCGACTCTGTAGAAAACTCCATAAAAGTCTGCGGTTCCAGAATTCCTCCTTTAGGAAAATATCTGAAAGCGCAGGAGGAGCTGCCGGCAACTTCGCGATGTCAGTTGCCGGCAACCTGCCGGCAGCTCGTCGAAATCCGCGATATGGCAGCTGCCGGCAGGTCAGAGACGGGAAATAGCGTGCTCTTTTGAGAGAGGGAGCTGCCGGCACTCGACGTGCCCCTAACACGTCGAGTGGCACCTTTGCCGACGGCGTCTGTGAGTTTGCGAATTGCGGCGATATCACACAATTTACGTCAGGCAAAAAAAAACCCAAAAACCCTACTTTTTATCAAAAAGCTATCACATTATTTTGGGACGCCCTGTATAAACGCGATGAAACGTCTTACGTTCAGAAGTCAATCAAAGAAATTTTTCTTCACATTCTTTTACAGTTTTTTGAGCGACAGCATACCGGAACTGATGAAATCGACTAAGATCGAAAATATTCTACTTAAGTAGGAACTGTGCGGGCGCTTCCTTCCAGTTTTTTTCAATGTGTACTATCGTTTTTATGGAGCTTGATGTAGTCCCGTACATTGGGGAACGGCCATAGGTTGCCGGCAACGGTTGCCGAGGTTGCCGGCAACCTATGGCCGTTGTAGGACCTCATGGTGTCCCCTGCGTATTATGCGCTCTCTAAAACCCCAGCAACCTCGGAAACCGTGACCGGCAACCTATGGCCGTTCCCGCAAAATGACAACGAAGACAGTTTGAAAGTTCCTTCTAATTGTTCAAGTTCAAGGAATCTATGAAAAGGTGAGTTTTTTGAAATATTCAATGTCTGCTAGGGACTTGCACTACAGAAGGTTTTTGCGATGTATTTCTTCAACAATCGTGAATCCAAATATCTACATCATTAACTGAATCTGTGGCTGTTTTTCTATAAGTCGCAAGTCATACGCATAATCATGTGATTGTATTCCATTGTGTGCAGTAAGAATGGACTTAGGGCATCTGGGCGGGTAGTACTCTACCTGGCGCCATTAGATGTCGGCAAGGCACATCGCGAGAGATGTCAATTCCGGCGTTAGCTCACGGATGGTTAATGCTTTGATAGCCTCAGCTTATCTAATCCGCACTCATATCCCACTAGAATTTCGACTCCGAGCCCACCGCAGTACAATGGCATCGCTCGTTTCTGAACCTGCAGGCACAGCCCTCGAGCGCAGGCTACCCAACAGACTACGCGAGCACATTTTGCTCCTCGAAAAAAAGGACAGGAAGGCACAGGCACGCGTCGCTCGTAAAAGGGTGTGATCAATACCGTGTGTAGTAGACATTGACCCTAAAAATAGCTCATCGACACTGGCAAAACAAGCGAAATTGTTTCAAACGAGATAATGGAGGAAGAGGAGGTAAGCCCACGAGTATCTAGCGATAGAGTATAATTATCTTTCATGCACTTCACGAAGGATATACAAGGAATCCTGTTAATGGGAAAATGATGATTTTTAGAAAAAAATAAAATTTGGTATCCCTGGCTGAGACTCAAATTATGTGGTATGCCATTATTCTTGAAATCACCCAGCAAGGTGCCGACATCTCGACGTGGTAGGGTCATGTCGAGATCCCGCCGCCTTCCTCTCTCAAAAGAGCACACTATTTCTCGCGCTCTCTGACCTGCCGGCAGCTGCCATCTCGCAAATTTCGAAGAGCTGCCTGTAGGTTGCCGCCAACTAAGCTCGCGAAGTTGCCGGCATCTCCTCATGTATTAGGTTGGCACATAAGTTTTGCAACTTTTTCTTATAACTCGTGTGTTTTGCGATGTGGCGCTTCCATTTTCTGGTATTATAATGAGGATCGTGTTAACAGCGAAAGCAACCATTCCTGCCATTTTCCAACATCACGTTCGAGAGTTACGGTAAGGCAATTTTTGAATGGGAAAGAAAAAGGAATTGACACGGATTAGGGTGAAACTTGGTCTAAGGGGGTTATTCGACATCCTGATTACGAAAATGATATTCATTTTGCTTGAAAAAATTATTTTGCTACAAAAAAGTTGAATTACAAAAAATCACTAGGCTAATTTTTGATTCTGACAACAATTGAATATGATATTCGTATTCAGCATGTCAAGTTATCCCATCGTACAAAGTTTCGCCAATATTCGACTATTCTGACTCTCTGGCATTGATGAATTATCCAAGCTACTTTGACGCAATTGACTTGTTTGAGTTTATGAAATCGCCAGATTTCCATTTAACAATGAATTACAATTCTTTTTTTCGCTGGGTTCAGTAGCCACCCTCTGAGAATATTTTGCCCACAGTTCCGGATGAATTTGGTTAACTTACTTTCGTAGGTCTTCATCTTTGCTAAAAAAAACCGTAAAACCTCAATTTTGACTGCTTTTAGGAGAATACGCAGATCTTTTCCATTTTGCCACAAAAAATCAAACGGTCTGCGCAGATTTATAGCGACTTCCGAGTCTACATAATATCAAAATTTGAATGCGCCTCATTCATAGAGAAAGAAGTTATGGACAAGGTTGCAAAACTTATGTGCCAACCTATTACTTCTCAATATTTTGGGAAATTAGACTAGACTAGACTAGACTAGACTAGACTAGACTTGCCGGTAGAGGAGTCATAGGGGAAGAGGTCCTCGTAACTCCGTTATGAATGATGCGCAGCGGCTGGAAACAGCATATTTGGCATCAGCGTTCCAAGCTGATTTCAAAAGTGTGTTATTCCGAAAATGCGAGCTAACAAGGGAATGATACTAACTTAGATTTGCCTCTTGAGATGGGACACATATATTTGGAATCAGGTTTGAACGTTGATTCCAAATATGCTGTTCCTAGCTGCTTAGCGTCATTATGAAGCGAGTTATGGGCTTGCCGTTGTGGGCAAATAACAAACTTCTGAACGTCGTAAGACGGCGTGTAGATAAGAACCTGCTCGAAAAAAGTGCTAGGATGTTGAACGAGCATCGGATTACTTGTTTCGGTATTAAAAGGGGGCATAATACAATTGCAAAACCACCCCGACGTCGACACCGTACCATCAGTAGGTCGAGGAGCACGCAAACTTTGCATAGAAAAAAGATCATAACTCGCTTCAGAATAATGCTAAGCAGCTGGGAATAGCATATTTAGAATCAGCGTTCCAAGCTCATTCCAAATATATGTGTTTCATCTCAAAAGGAATCTTAATATCCTTCCCTTGTATAGGGCTTATCAAATTGAGTGTCGTTTGGATCCATCTCCATCTTCGCGCTGGACTCTGCGTCTCTTCTGCGGCACGTGCTCCCTAATCACTTCCAATCGATTGAGGCTCCGCCTTTCCCACGCTCGCCCTGGGAAAGTGCTCAGAGAGCAGCCCCGCGGAAGAGACGCAGAGTCCAGCGCGAAGATGTAGATGCTGGTGCAAACGACACTCAATTTGATAAGCCCTATAAGTTAGGGAGCTTCTCTTGTTTGTTCTTGGTGACGTCACGTCAAGATGCCGGCAACAACGACGACGGCGAAACCTGCCCGCCAGATGGGAAGGGTTATCATCGGCCCCGATATCAGGAAGGCGAACGAAATAGCAGAAATATAAATCTTGAAAGTCATATGCGAATAAAAATTGCAAGATTTGAAAAACAATTTTCTTACCGCTTCAAAGTAAGCAAATTAAGTGGAGAATAAGTTTGATTTTTTTGCATGAATTTCCTTTATTTCGGGGAAATCCAAATCTACATTACTGCTGTCAACCATCGGCTACATAGTGAGCAAAATTTGTGGTATCCTTCTATATTTCAAATCAAACGATGGTTTCTCGCAGCAGGTTTTTCAAAGGAATAAGTCTAGCATTTTAAAGCTAGACATTATATCGCTACTTTTGAGTATGTATAGTGCCGCCAAGAAGTTTCTGATTGTAACACAATCTCTTACTCCCGCAAGGATCATTCCTAACAAGAGAGGTGGCAAATTACTGAAATTTAGCGAACTGACAGAATTTTCGAAACAACTCAATACTTCACAAAATCCTTAGAACAGCAACTTAAACATTTTTTGCAAACTATTGCACACTAGCAATTGACACTATTTTCAGCTTTGCTTCTTAATCTGCACAAAGCTCTAATTGTATGTGTTTCGATATAATTAGAGTGCACCACAGCGAAAGCCATTATAGGATCGGCGGCATCTACTGTTTTGGATAATCTAAGAATTTAGCTCAAATAGATTGAATTCGTAGGGACAAACCTAAAAAACGTGGTAAATCTTTTTTCAGAAAGTTTGGTTTGGAGTTGTTTCACAATCATATAACATTGCGCAGCTCTTACCTTTTCATTCCTTAAAAATGCAAAAATTACCATTCCGCAAAGCAGGGGTTTTTGACCCTTCGGTTACGGGTTCTCACTCGCAAAAAATTTCGTCTATTGTCTACGTTTCATATGTGTGCAAGCATATGTGCAACAAACACTCAAAAGGAGATTTGCAAAAGTTCCACATGAGTTCGAAAACTAACGCGTGAATTGCATACATCTTCGCTTTTCTTGGTATAAAAAAAATTTTTGAGAGTGCCGCTATATCGCCCTTTCCTAGAATCTGTGCACCGGTGCTTTCTGGAAACCCAGAATCATTTCAAAATTTCATTCAAAGGGCACGTATCACGTAATTCAGAATGGCGTACTTCTCGATGCAGAAATTTTTTCGAACCTCGCCACGGTAAGATAGAAACTCTAAAGCAGACTATGATTTGTAAGAGTGATATATAAACCACGTTTTGGAGACAACATCTCAAACTCAGCTTCCTATTTTCTGGACT